TTAGAGTGGTAGATTGATCACATTTGGGCGTTCCAAGAGGCGAAAATCCTTCCTTCTGATTACCGAAGGCAAATGTCGAGTGTTTCTCCCTTACTTCGCAATCACGCACGTTACATGGGCTCATCGTCATCGTTTGAAATATAGGCAAACTTACTTCAATAAATATCAAATATTTATTATTATTAAATATTACAATAAATTCTGCGGATAATTGTTCATCCCAACGCTGTGATATTTGAATGACCTTCCTGGCTTTAAATGAAGACCTTTTTCCTACGGAAAATGGATGTTTCCAATAGGAAAAGGCCCTTCTCTATAAAATATCCTGGGAATATTTTGTATCTGGCGATTTCGAACAGCCGGCTTCTCAATTTCGATGAGACGAAGTGCTGAATCACAGATGAGTGTTGAAAAGTACCAACGACGGAAACGTAGTAATGCCTATTACAGAGCATGGCGCTGCGGGAAATGCTTCTAACTGCATGGTAATATCACTAGCATATCTTTTCGACAGTTAGTAAAAAAAATGCTTTTTTCAATGTCTGGAAAGTTTCATAGGCGTTTTACGATCAATTTTCCATTCCATTTAAAACTTTAATGTTCTGGAATCTTTCTTTGTGATATTCTCGGTCTGTATATACGCATCAACAAAAAGTAGCAATGCCATTGTTGGATGAACCGGTCTGCACCTCGTACACAAAACAATATATCAATGTCACTGATACCTCGTACACAAAACAATGTACGTAGTAACAGTACACAATACCACAGAAATAAAAGGAGGCCGCGTCAACCATGAGGGTGCTTATGAACTTATCGTTTTATCGCCCACAATGTGATTTATTTTGTGAAGGTATAACAGATGAGCAATTCAAGGCCTTTCCATGTTGAAAGCGCGTTTTTGTACTTTTATGTGTGATCACAAAAAAGTATTCAATAATGAGTTTCGATTACTGAAAAAGTTTTTGCTTTGCTTATGTGTCGAACTTATTGTAATTATATTCTCGTCATACAACGTTAATACTAAATAACTGATGATAATTTCTGATAGAAAAAGGTATCGTAAAACTAATCGGCAAAAGCCAATTTCAACGTTATTTTTTGCGGCAGATAACAGTTTCTATTGCCTGAATAATAGAACGGTTCTCTTATGAACGAACTAACATCGTATTTACGTTGTTTTTATAACTTATTCCGGGGCAATCGAACCATGAATGAGTTGTTCCGAGAAGTACGGGGGCGTGAAGGAGCAAGTGCCTTTCGAGTTGCAGGCTATAGCTGCTCGAACCTCTTATCAGTCCCGTATCAGATAACGAACAATAAAGACCATCAGGGACAGACAGACGTCCACAGTCGTTTCTCGGCGGTGATGGTCGTTGGCCGCGAACAAGCGTCTTCTTAGGAGCCTTGAAATATATTTGGGGAAAATTAAACAACGATCGCGTGTGAAAGAACTTTAATCGCTTTATGGCGCTGGACACTTTCCTTTGAAAAGGTAGTTAATAAGTCATTGATTTAGATTATTTACTTGAAAATAGAATCATTTATTAATTATATTGATATTTTTGTGACCCAAATATATTCGAATTGATATGAGAGCTGAATTCATGAAAACGAAAACAAAATGAAACGCTGTTGCTAGCTAATCGAGCGGTACTACATTATTGAGTTGTGATTGAACAAGCTTCGTTGACTTTGGTTATCGATTATCTATCCTTCTTAGAAAAACCATCGGAATCATTGACTTTTATTTTTTATCTTTATTTACACTTTATATCAAAAGGCTGGGTTGATACCTGAAAAATGTTGCTGAGAGACTGATAAAATATATTATGGAAAATAATCAAATGCGAAAAATAAAATGAAAAAATTCGCTATGCGAGTTATGAAAATATCGGTTTTTGATAATTTGTGAATAAATAATCGACTACTGGGCCAAACCTTTTTCAAATATTTGTAGGAGCCACAATAAAATTGCAATCGTAATTTAAGAGGTATTTTGTCGTGCAATTTATGGAAAATAAAACATCAACTGCGATGGCAAGGAAGTGAAGTCGTTAGCTGCGTGGCCGAGCATCTTATTATAAGAGCGATGTGACAGTGCAAGTCAAGTCGGAATTTATTCAATTTCTGTGAGACGCGGGAGACTGTTGAAGGTTATGTTCAGTGAGAAGTTTGACTGAGTTGAAAGTGGTGTTCAGTGAGAAGTCGTAGTGAGAATTTCGCTTGTGTTGTCGTGAAAATTCTTGTGTTGTAGGGGGAATTCGGTGAAAAATATCACTGTGTTGCAGGTGGAGTTCAATGAGAAGTCGGACTATGTTGTAAGCAGGTTCAGTGAGAAGGCCATCAGAGCAATTTAAGGTGAAGTTCGGAGAAAATCTAAGATATTTGAGAAGATTTTGTTGTTTAAAGTTTTCTATAGGGGGAGAGTGGTGGTTCTGTTACTCCAGTTCTAAAGGATATACCAACTGCGTTGAAGTAACAATACATGGACACGAGTTAAATGCGACAATTTCGGAACGACAGCAACAATGCTGGTGATAAAATGTAACACTAAATGCAACACGCCTATGCAACAATTAATAAATTATTATTCTCAGTGCAATTAAGAAAAATCTTATCTGAATTTGTCGTAGCCATAAAGGTTCCATCTTGAATTCGGGGTAAAAAATTACTACTTTGTGTTGATCTGATGATCGAAATCTAGTTTCCAGTTGTGCCTCACAAAAACTGTACAAAAACATTGACTTGAAGGGGAAGATTTGAAATTCAGATACCGACAATTGGTAAGATTCAATAAAAATTTATCAGTTGCCCGCTTGGTTAAGAACGAAATTCTCTCTAGTCATTCATGCAAGAGAAATGAAGTTGTTCTCAGCAAAACCCCGCGATGGCCTGAATATGCGGTCTCATATGACATTAATATTTTTACCACGTTCACTGCGTTTACGTGATATGAATAACGAAGGATACTGATAGAGCAAAGCCGCGTGCTGCTAGGCCATAATGCAGAGTGAAGGGCTTCAATCTTTGCAGAAAATTAACTTGCAGATGAGTGCAGCACGCAACTTTTAGCTCATGTTATCGAAAATATCATCACAAAACTGTCGTCGAGGCACACTGCAGGTGGAGGATACGCATGATGAGGCTACTTTGAGTAAATCCGATCTTGTGCCTGGTCAGCAATTTTTGCTTCATATTAACTGTTCCAACGAATAAAAAATACTTTTTTTCTTATAACAAGATCTTGAGAATGATATTAAAACTCTTCCAGCATTATTAAGGGCCTCCAATGGAGTTTAGTAGCTGCAAGACTCCAACTGCCAGCTACTTCAGCACTCACACATCATAGAATAATTCAATGTAATGAAATTGAATAGCGAATAATTTCATTCATTCAACAACGGTGGAATCATTTAATTCACCCGATTTGTATAAACTGTGATGATGAGTTTACAGTTACATTAACCCTTCTCAATGCTCGCATCAGGCGTGTATTTAAAGGCCTTAAGTTAACGAGACTTACCGTTCATGTCATTGCAAATTTTATTGTTTAGGCTAGAAAAAACTGTATGATGTAAAATCTTAAGCAATAAATCTTGATAGGTGCAAAAACTGCCGAGGTCGTCTTACAAGTTGCAAATAAAAATGAAAGCTATTTCGATTCGGAGATAAATTTTGAAAGTGATTTGTGAAGTTTGTTTTTAACGACTTCTTATGTGTAAATTGGATCCTCAATGCCTAACAGATATTTTCGTTACCCTATCACTGGAACCAAATGAATTGTGAACTGAAGATCCTATGTCTAAAATCTTTCTTGAATTTCCATTATTTCAGGTGATGCATTCGATATTGCAGTCAAGCTAAAATTTTAGTTTTCTTATTTATAATTAAAGTAAACTTTTCACCGAAAAACAACACCTAATTGCTAGAAAGTTCGTGCTAGTGAAATGTCATCATGGCGGCGCACGCTTGACCAAACAAGTTTACAACGCAGTAGCCTGACTACTCCTAATGCATGGTAAGTATATTATTTGATGTTTTCGTCTATGCAAATTGTAATATATATCATAAGAGTAATAAACATTACCCATTTCTTTGGCTAATAATAGCATGGTGTCCAGTAAGGACTGGAAGCATTTTAAACTATTTATTATACAGCCAACTCACTCGCACCGCGTGTCAGAGACAAACTTCAATGCAGAAGTGCATAATTTATGGAGAATCTTTCTTAAAATAATCCAAAAAATTTTAATTGCATTGGAGAATGTGAAATTTTAAAATATGAATTTGAATTTAAAATAAAACAAAACGATCAAATGATTCAAAATTTTTGAATATACATAGAAAAAAATGCTCGAAACACAAAATTGTCTTCATGGTAGATGAATTCAAACATGTCGATTAATTTAAAAACTTAAAACTCGTGTCATGTCGGCGGAAAAAAATGTCAACGCAAGAATTCATTGATAATCTTATCAGTAGATATGATTAGATTTAAGCTTAACCGCGTGACTAAAGCTTCCGATTATAAAGTGACCACCCTCAGGTAAGTCCAATTGTTCAGCTGATGAATGGAATTTACACGAATAATTTATTGTAAGTCTTAACATTACTCGAGAAAATCTCTGCACCTCCAACAGAGATATAAATCTTTGCTCTACGCACGTGATAACAGAGACATCAAAGAGCGTACCACAGCAGCCATATGTGCACTCACAGAAATGAGTAAAACAGTGTCCAAATTATGACGCAATTGTGTGTGTCATCCTGACACAGTTTGGCTTGAATTTGTATATGAGCAGTTAACGTCCGTCAGCATTTGGCGAACGCACTCAGTTTTCGTGACAACGAACTTATACACATAGGGTGATATATGTACCCATAATTAATACCCATACGTATTTTATACCCATAATTTATACTCATATTCTTACGTCATTTTCTTAACTATATCTCTTCTTATTTTCCAGGATTGCTGGTAAATAATGCCTTGCACGACAACCGTACACACAATAACAGCCTCTGTGACCAATAGCTGCTACAATGTCAAGGACTACGGCTAACAGATGAACATACATTAGGGCTGCACAAATTTAACTAGTCAAACAGTCTATTCATTATTAATAAGTATATTTTTAATTAAGATATCGTTTGTTCAACTTTGTTTAACTTTTGTGAAATGAAATGGCTGGACGTTCAGATAGTGAAGAACTTCAAGAAGACACTGGGTTGGAGGTCGTGACATGTTCGTTTAGTAGTGCAAATAATTCAAGTCGGAATGAATCGAAAGCCAATTCTGAAGACAGGGATGACGCCTGTGAAGTGTTCGATACCTCTAAAGTTCTCAATGATGACGACCAGTCAACTGTTGAAGAGAATCCTACTAATTCCAACAACGAAGTATTAGATAATACTGTGATCGAAAAGAGTATGAATATGAGAAGTTTTTCGTTTTCTCTAAATGACCTTGCGAATCAGGATCCTAAACCGTTTTCGGCTCGTCAAAGATCTCACCCAAGGAGGAAGAGGTCGGAACGAAGAGACACTCGTCTGTCGGGACTGAATTTACTATTGCCTAGAAACTTCAACGACCACGACGACGAGAAAGGGAGCGGGAACCTAGAAAACAGCCACAACGAGAAAGAGAATAAGAACCTAGAAAACAGCCACAACGAGAAAGAGAACGAGAACCTAGAAAAAGATTACAATGAGAAAGGGAGCGAGAACCGAGAAAAAAATCACGACGAGATAAGGGACGAAAACCCAGAAAACAAAGACGACGTGAGAATGGTCAGGAGCCTAGAAAACGATCATGACAAGGAAAGGGATGAGAACGTAGTGAAAGATCACGGCGAAAAAGGAGAAGAGAACGTAAAAAACAAGCACAACGAGAAAGGAGTCAAAAGCATAGAAAGCGATCAGTACGAGAAAGAGGACGAGAACGTAGAAAACAAGCACAACGAGAAAAGAGTCAAAAGCATAGAAAGCGATCAGTACGAGAAAGAGGACGAGAACGTAGAAAACAAGCACAACGAGAAAGGAATCAAAAGCATAGAAAGCGATCAGTACAAGAAAGAGGACGAGAACGTAGAAAACAAGCACAACGACAAAGGAGTCAAAAGCATGCAAAGCGATCAGTACGAGAAAGAGGACGAGAACGTAGAAAATGACCGCGACGAGAAAAGGGTCGAGAACGTATCAAGTGACCATGATATCAACGATGTTATTCCGGTCAGCAGGAACACGGCAGAGACTGGCAGCAATCCGGTAGGTTTCATCCAGATGCCAGAATCAAGTTCATCTGATGACGAGCCTCCGCCATTACCGACGTCTCCTCCTCCTGTTTTTGATAACACCGGTCACGGTGCGTGTTCCCGTCTCGAATTGATCGAAAGTTCGTCATATGGTGCAGAGAGCGGAAATGTTTTCTCTGATTCGAGATCATCTCTGGGACCAAGAGTGAACATCAATTATGAGAGTGCAATCGTAGATGTAACATCAAATACATCGTTAAATTTGGATGCATTCCTCGACGATTCAGAAAACATAACTCCTGTAAAAGAGAAGTTACGTGACAAAACATCGTCAGTCGCATCATCATCAGATAGTGGAACTGAGCATGAACGGTCTGATCAGACTTTTTCGCTTTCACCGCCAACATCACTGTCCGATAATGTGATGATTAATAATTCAACGGAGGAATATTCGTTGAGGCTCAATGATTCTGATCTAGTACCTAAATTATCGTCTTTATCTCCGACAAAAGATGTTAATGGTTTTCATCCAGATGTTTCTTTCAATTTCAGACATCAGTGTTTCAGCATCACGAATAGGAAAACCAATTTTCAGAGTTTACCAGACCTCCATGATACGAGAATTTATACGACAGACCAAACACGTGAACATAAACTTTCATTTCACTCAAGCACTCGTCTCTCAAAGCTGGATATGGGCGCTGAATTTACAAATTTAATCGAGATCACAAAACAATTGAAGAAAACGAAAGAGTATGGCTCGGCAGTCGACCATGTAGAACTCATGAGTCCAACTGAGAGAGAAAAGTTTGAAGAATTTTGCGATACTGTCTATATTGGACCCGATTTTGAACTAAAACACCCGGCGAGTAAAATTAAAGAAAATAACGATCCAACAGAAAAATTAATAGAACATTTACTATCAAGATCTTCAAGCAAGAGGACTGATGAATCGAGAAGAGAAGAAGAAAGTTTGCGACAGCTTGAAAGTTCAAAAAACGCCAGCGAAGATCAGTCCCAGATACTCTTTGATGATAACCTCGCCGTTCGTGAGGCTTGCATTATTCCGTCAGTACTCTTGTCGCAAACGCTGTCCATGCAACGACCGAATAGCTCGAATTCGAATGAACTGGATTTTGGTGGAAATCAAAATAGTGGACCTATTATCGCTTCACATGAGGACACACTGAAAGAAGCCAAAATACATCCCATGTTTCATGACGTCATAGACCAAAATACAATGGAGTCTACTAGCAAAGCCCCACCACTGCCTCCGAAATCAACGCATATGCACAAAAAGAGGCAGTCCTTGCAGTTAGATTGTTTGAAAATTCAGGAGAGAAGAGGTGGAAGTTTGAATCTAGAAGACGCTTGCATTGTTTTAGAAGATGCTCCTCCTTTGCCTCCAAGAAGAGGCGGTAGTTTAATTGTTAAAGGGAATTATAATACGGCAGAAAGGACACTCCCAATTAAGCAGCTTGCCTCAAGTTCTGCAAAAGTTGAAAATTCTTGCAACTTGAAAACGCACACTCTTCCTCCGCCTCGCGTCCAAAAACGTTGCCGGTCAATGCGGGACAGAAATTGCGTTTCATCTGCAATACCCGATGATGTTGAAGTACATTCCCCCACCGACAAAACCAATTTTTCAGACCCTAATTTATCATTTAGAATTCACCAGAATGCGCCTCCCAATTTACCGCCAAAGCCCTCCGTGTCAAGACAAAATTCTTCTTCAGACGATTCACATCCCTGCCCGATGGGGCCTCCTCCCAGACCTCCGTCCTTTTTCCGTTCGATGTCGTCAAGGGAAGGAGCATTAGAGAAGTCAGCGGTTTTTGTTTTAGCGTCTCAAGCCATGTCTTCTGATCCAACGTCGATGCGGTACGCGTATGGCAGACAGCTTTTGTCCGGAGATTTCCATGAAGCCATCAACTCGTCAGTGAAGCACCTGCATGTTCTCAGAAGTGCCTTGCCTGACCTACCACCTATTGATACTTACACCGAGCCGACATTTCAGCACTTCCCCGTTAAAATTGATGGAACACATCAAAGACTCTCGATCGTGTCCAATACCAGTTCGGAAGTTCATCAGTCTTATGATAACGAAGCTTTCAAATATTCTTCAAGTGAATTAGCAGGTTCATTTCAATGGGGAAGAGGGAGCTATCGTTCTAAAGATTGTCAACTCAGTCGTAATAAAAGTAGCAGCAGTTCCGATGCCGACGCCAGCCCAAGGATTGGCTCGTTCTCGAGTTCTTCTTCGACTCGAGCCAGTGACCGCAGCCGAGATAAAGTTGTTCTCAGAAAACTTGATGAAGGTGTTTCGACATCGAACTTGCTGTCCAACGAAGCTCCGGTTCCATGCGATTCTTTGGCTGACTTACCTGCTTCTTTGGACGATTGTAACGCAGGAGACAAATTTGTGACTGACAAGTCGCAAATAAAATTTTCAAGTAGTACAGATTCAGGAATGCCATCGTCACCTCGCATGTCCCGCGCAAGGCGTTATGCCTCCAGGCTGTCTTCGGTCTCGTCTGTCGTTGGGTGGAATAGCCGTGATAAATCGGTGAGCAAATACTTTCACTCTAGTCTCTTATGTATAGTGAGCGTTTGTAAATACTATTTAATAATTACCAACTATTAACATAATCAGTAATAATGATATTTTATAATTATTATTTGCAATTGTTCACAAACAATTTCTGTAATACAAGTGGCATACACAGAAACTATATAATATTTCTCATATTAATGCATAGTTGTGATTTTACCGAGGATTTGATTAGGATCGTTTCACGCGAGATGACATGCAAAAAATGTCTTATACAGTTATATGTTTTATATCATGTCCTTATATTTCCTCACTCTGCAGGAGTCGAAGAAACATTCGCAAGACAAAGAGTCGTGGTTGGTGGACAAAGTTTTACGTCTCTCCTTTCTCAGGTAAACTCTTCACGATCCGCTGCGGGAGAAATACATTACGCGTGCAATAAATATACCGTTCCAACTTGAAAAATACATCACAAAATCAAAATGACATCAGGTTGGAGAATCTTAAACATAAAAATAGCTCTGGCATTGGAAGATTGATTACTTATTTATCGTTTGACAGTCATTTCGGCGAATAATAAATAATTCGTGCCATTCTCAGGGACACCTCAGTACGTGGACTACCAAGCGACCTCAGCACTCTTGCCGACTCAGTGCTCGTGAGCGAAGACAAAATCAGATTGTCTTCAACCTCTCAGCCGCACACAAGCAATGACGGGATGAAACCTCGCGCCATGTCTAGTCTTGATAAAGACTTCATATGGGAGAACGACGATGAGCCATCGGGTTACATCAACCCCCTTCTTGCTTGCCATGCAATGGACTCAAGTGGAGACGCATTAGATAGTGGTGACTCGCATGACGGCAGACGAGAAACAAACAACAACTGCAAACAGAAAAATTCTGTCAGAATACTTCAGTCTCTACAGAACCTAAAACGTGACATGCGAGACTACACGGCAGTTCTGGAGAGTCTTCAAGAAAACTACGAGGAGATGAGGTCGAGGACACCGGATGGAATTCGTCAACGGTTCGATCTTGCCATAAAGGAAGTCAAAATCATGCACGAGCTCCAACTCAAACTTAATGAAAAAATTCTTGATCTCAGTGGCGATGATTTGAGCGCCGTAGCGGATGCATTTAAAACGGAAGATTTCTCAACTTACAAGAGGTACTCGATATTAGCACGCGACCTGCAAAAAGAAATCAAATCACACTCCTCATACTTCAGTGAAAACTTCCAACAATTTTCTTCGAATATCATGAGGCCTTTTCATCGCCTGAACTCCTATTCTCAGTACCTGCAATCCTTCCTCAATAATTTCGTGGACGAGACTGAGAGTAAGCTGCAGGATGCCGTGTCGTACCTCAATAACCTCAAGAACGAAGCCAACACAGAAATGAACATCTGCGACCTGCAGAAGTGTCCGGTGGAGCTTCGACTGGCCGGACTCATAAGCTACGCTGGGGCCCTTCACTACGATGGCGATCTTTTCCCGAAGCACGTTTACGTAATTCTATTCGACAGTATCATGGTTATCAGTGAAGACAATCACGAGTACAGAGTGTACAAGCAGCACTACCGCAGCGAGCAAGTCACTGAAGTCAATGACATCGGAGGGTTGGAAATTGAAGTTAAGGTACATCCTACGTTTCAGTCAGACACAACTGTGCTGAAATTTAAAGCTAATCTAACATCTGATAAAAACAATTGGATAACGCATTTTCATTCTTGGCAACAGAGAAACTTACCCTCTTACAAAGCCATCATCCTCAACTCTGATCTGCAGAAAATCATCCGCAGGAACACAAAACACAATCGATTCCTTCCTCTTTCATTATGGAACTTGAGTCCAGCACTCAAAGCAGCGGTCGATATCGTCAAACAAAACAAAGTCACCGACAAGAACATAAAGCTGAACAAAATCCACAACAGTAGCAGACCAAGCAGCGTCGGTGACGATGAGATATTCAGCAGCTTCATGTTTCAAGTGGACAGTTTCGTCTCGAGGCTCGATGTCTTGCTGGACCACGAGGCTCTTGCGCCACCTCCGCTGCTGGGATCAGTCCTCAGGAAGTTACGACGGTTCTACAAGAGCGTCTTCATTCCACAATTGCGAGCAGATTATGAAAAGCGTCCAGAAAAAATCCTCGTGAGCATCATGGGAAACTTGCCTAACATTCCACCCTTGTTCATCGAGTTCATTGAAGTTCGCTCAAGCTTGACGCTTGTAATGGAAACAGACGAGGGCTTAACTCAATACGTGAGTCCATTTCATCATCTCTCATACTTCATTGAATGGCTTTTCAGTCTCTCATGCATAGCGAGGTACCATGACAAACTGCGCGGACACTTAGGCATTCTGATGAACTGCGTTGAGGACTCAAGGGTGACCATCCTACATTCCGCCATAACCAACTGCCATCTGGACTTTTACAAGACGGGCGACATCGTCCGCACCGGCACCCTCGAGAGCAAAGTTCGGTGCCGCAGCCTGAGAAGCAATCAAGATTACTACGTCATCCTCTTTGAAAAGGCTATTCTGTTCACAAGACCTAAAATTCCTCAGTACGAATACGTGCAGGTTTTGTGGCTTGACCAAATGACCTTTGGTCCGCAGCCAGTTCACAGAGCCTCTTTCAGGCTCGAGGAAAGATCTCCGAAGAAACCATACGTGTACGAGCTCAGATGCACGAGCGAACTCTCAAAGAGCGAGTGGCAGAGAGACATTCTCGCTATGTTGCACAAACAGGCGGAGCTTATCAAGAAGAACCTTAATTAGCTCAAACTTTCGTGGAGACGGCTGACAAGAAAGACGTCAGCTGCTTTATTCCGCACCAATGATGTGATTTTTTCACGCTTGTACGTTATTAAAATTATTCATAACAATAGTGTCTGAAATTCCTACACGTCATAATTTTTAAGCGTTTTTTTTAATAGTCGTGATGAGCCAGATGAGGTCCAAGAATAATCAAATGCATTTTCGTACTATGTAGTTAGATCGTCGTTCAATTCCGCATCCAACTTGGGCAGACGCAAATCTTCCCGCCCCGAGTGATATCGTTTGATATCAAATATCACTGAAATAAATGACCATAACACCAACGTTACAGTCACTGCACGTAGCCTTATTTATCATATCAAACTTTTTAAAATGGCCAGTCGAAGGCAATCTGCTCCCGACTGGTAACAGTAATCGAGATCGAATACCTCAAATGCACAACACACGTTGATATAATATTATTAGCGTCGGCGAATTAAAATTCTATAAGATTAATTATGTTGGCTTGGAAAATCATGAAATTGTTGGTAGACAATTTAACATTCCTAAAGCAAATATTAAGACTAATTCAGAATGGAAGCAGGCTGGTGATGACTAATGACGATATCGCCTTGACCTGCTGTCGTCTTAAATCTCATTTGCACCCGCCGAGCCTCGACTGCGAAGCCACAATTGCTGAAGTTTCCGTAATGCCAAAATTACCAAATAAAACTGAAATAACTAACTTTACTAAATAATACATTCTTTAAGTTACCGAGTTCAATGGTCACACAATTTACCAGCGCTTCAGCATCAACCCCATAATCGTGTCTTGGAAAAACTGACCAAATTGGTAGGGCTTTCGGTCGGTTTCGTTACGTTCGAGTTTCGTAAGCATAGATTACATTTGTAATCCACGCGACCGCTGTAGGGTTAAGCGATTTCACACCAGGAGTCAAAAATAAACATCACCAGTAAGATGGAAGGCCTCATTTATTGCAAATTATTTTAATTAAAATTTGCTCATCGCCCACAGAAGGCGGAAGGTTTCCAAGTCCCGTTCTCAGTGAACGTTAATATTTCAATGAGCAGGTCATTCTCTGCCCTCAGAACACTCGATGCAGTTAGGAACTCAGCACCTGAGTTAACAAAAGTTTTTAAATCAAGCTAAATAGTACAATTAATTCTCTATTTTTCTAAGTTTAAAAAGAAAAAAATCATAAACTCACCATCAGCAGCTCCAGTTCTCCCAAGACGAGCCGCTTACACTGGACGCGCAACAATTATGCGCTTTGATCACTCGCAAGTTCACAATCGGAGTCAAAACGCTAGTTTCCTAAAATAGTTCACAAATCAATTACCGAGAAAATGTTCACTCAGTAACGCCTTGCTCAAAGGACGATACGCCTAGAACGGTTCATCACTAATTATACCTCCTGACGTGCTGAGCTGTTAAAGGGAGGGAGCTTCAATAATCTTAATAAATAAAAAGGGAGGTTCAATAATTGTATACTAATTTCGCTTCATTATTTATAAGTGAAGGAATAAATCAGTAGCAATTATTGAATAAATCTACACAAAATATGTTAAATGAATACATAACAGAATCTCTGGCAAGGTTACGACAAATATATAACCACAAGAAAATTTACACAAGCAAATACACAAAAAATATAACTCAGTACTCACTGCAGTGAGTGACAGAGAGCGCATTTTCTCGTTGACGAAAACTTGGTCACGGACGGGACGGACGGACAGACAGACAGACAGACGGACATGGCGAGCACAATAGTGCATTTTTTCCATAAATGAGAAAATGCGCTAAAAACAATATGAAGTAGGAAGGCTGTACATGTAAAGCGACACTGGCAGCGGACAGAGGAAAAGTGGTTGGCGGAGATGCGTGTCCGCAATTAACTTATTCTAGCAGATATTGCCATACCAGAATTTCAAAATATACAATCTAGAAAGTTAATGAGCTTTGGCTACATAAACCAAAATATGTACCGAAAAAATCGACTTCGTAAGAAATGCAGGTCTGTTACAAATGGAAAAAAATCTGAATCTCAGAACCTCGGTTACTAGTACTAGTCAGCACAGCCAGGTGGTTGTTTAGCATTTCGTGGCAGGGGAGGAGTTGAAGATAATTACCGTGACAATACGGAACTGAGGGCCAGGAACTGTTTTAGTGTGCAAATTGCCAACACTTGACCGTGAGAACATCTGCGTGTCATGAACATCAATTCGATTGAAACGCTTACACTTGTACCTACGCCACGTTATTTGCCCATATAGTGACATTAATTCCATTTAAACGCCAACAATCGACCATCAGGACATCTGGATGTCGAGTACTAGCAATTATTTGAATTTCAGCTTTTCGAAGAATGAACATTGAAATTTGTTAACATAATGTGCTTGAGCCTGAACTCAGACATTGATGGATTGTAAACCAATGTTTAGACCAGGACGTCTTGCTGAGATGGACGGATGCACGAGGTGAGCACAGTGCTATACTATTCTTTTATCGTTTAGAGTAAGTTAAAGTACAATTTTTTACAGTTAAAAATGTAAATCAGGCATTTTTCTCCGTTTAGTGGTCTCACCACCCTACCGGAAACTCTCTGTACGTGGTACATCATTTTCTAGTTTCATGTCTGGGCGTCTGTTGTGGGCGTCATGTCACTTGAATGCAATACACAAAGTAATTAGAAAAATTTCTTTGCACTTGCGATTTTACAATCGTCAAATTCAACGAGCCGTTTGTTGAGAAAACGATTAATAATAATAATAATAATAATAATAATGTAAAGGATGCAAGATTCGCTTTTTAAGGCTCATGATATGATGCAATATTGAGGCTTAATAGAAGATAAAAATAAATTATAGAATCATCTATCGACTGAACAACTTCAATGCCTAGACTATTTCACTCAGCAGTATCGCAGATAAGCGATAATCTATATACATAAACATCGTTGGAATACTACACTATTAATATCATTTGATTGCTTGAACTTCAAATTTATGACGAGTTTACTCCGCTAAGCCAGAATAGAAGTTGACGTAGAAAATGTTGACACAAGAGAAAATGCACCTTGTATTTAAATTGTTCATTCAAGCTTTAACATCACTTTCAATTGTAATAAAGAATTTTTGAGTCGACGATTAAGCTGGCCTCCGAAACATTAGAAATGAAGATAAAGTGAACAGCAGTTACTTTATCTTTGATTTTACAATTCCCAACATAAGACCTGAGATAGGGCAAATAAGTATAATGACTGGGAAATAATTACAATGTAAAGCATTTTTTAAGAATTATAGATGGAACCAAGTAGGTCACAGTTTGTCGATATGGAAAGTGCGGCTATTTGGGCATCGTAAGCTGACAAGCATCAAGGACACTTTTTACATTAAATGATAAGAATTACTGTGCACATACGCTACTTAGTACTAGAATAATACGTGATTGGTCCAATATATTGTCTTGTAAAAGCTCATTTATTAATACGTAACACTAACACATACCTATCACAATAAGGAAAAGTCGCATTCAAGGTCCACATTTCATATTTATGTATTTTTCAAACGTGCATTCAACAGATACAAAATTTTCTGCAATACAATATCATTATTTGTGATTATATATACCTACGCGTAAAGAACTCGGTGCACACTGAACTAGTTGAATTTGACGCTAATGAACTAAAGACTCGACCTTCAATGAGATGAATGTAGAGACAACATTTAGCTGACTAAATATTAAAACAAAATTTCCATTGGAGCATGAAACGTTACTTCCAGTAACAAAAAAAGCCCCTGAGCTTCAAAAGAGACATGAGCATGAAGATTGTCTTCCTAGTTTTCTCTCAATGCGTGGCTTCCGCGAGCTCCTAAACCATTAATTGATATAATATAATTATTTAAGATAATAACAATATTGTCTTAGAATTTCCATAAGCAAAAGCAATTGAGAGTGTCACATTTTCACCAAAGCCATACATATAAGTTAGTTTAGTGGCCAAATGTTTACTAGCGCTTCAGCTATTTAGCTATCTCGCACCGAAAGTCAAGATGAACATCACCATAGAGGTGGAAGGTCTCAATTATTCATCAGCCACAAGGGGCGGAAGGTCTCAATTGTCCAGCCCGCTGAAGCTGGCTCGAAAGAAGCAGCGTTAGCATCTCAAAGAGACGAAGTGACAAGGAGGAACAGGTGAAAAGCAACAGAAAAGAAGACACTCGAACAAGAGGTCGCTTACACGGGACGTCGGCCGCCCGCACGAGAGAGACAGTGAAGGGAAATGTAAGGAATCCTACCTACATAATAACTTAACCCCACAACTGAGATCTGCAGTCAGACACCGCGAGCTCAGCGGTGGGGCGCACAGAAACAATCCCCCTAGGAGCGCGAAATCCCATAAGACTTCTGACGAGCACAGCCACACGTCAGAAGTCCCCCTTGAGGGGCCATACATATAAGAAGACGAAAATAATACTTAGCAAAATCTCATCAACACACCAGATGAATTTAAATAACAGAAGGAGGGCACATTTGAACGCAGGAAACGATTCCTTAGTCATTTTTCTCTAATGAAGAATCAATTTAATAAAGTAGAATATAACAATATAATATAATAATATAAACCACACGGTATTCGTAGAATTATTGGTGAAAATTTCATACATAGATCACAATTAGTCATTTGGTTTCCTCTAGAATTGAGTGCAGTGAATGTAAATAGTTAATTGAATTCTTTGAAATCGGCAAGGAATTTGGCTCAAGAATTAAAGAAATTAAAAAAATGTGTTGACTAATTTTTTCGCTTTACTCCAAAAACTTTCTTACGTCGTAAATTTCGAAATAATCGAGGTTGATTTTTATACCGCGGCCAGGTAGCCTCACTTCCAGCGTCCAGTCTGCAAGGCATGAAAGGAACTTCAAGTTGCCACAAAGATAATAATTTCGGACAAAACTTCAAACTAACTTATAAAAATTTAGAATTATTTTAAAAATCAAAATCATTAGGGTTATCGTGAATGGGAAGATAACAAAATAAAATCACTTTCAGGCCGGCGAAGTGGAAGAAGTCTCAAAGTTAAACTGTATAAATCTTGACACTCAGATGGTATAGGTTTACAAATGAAGTGTACATTAAAGACCCTCAGATAACGTAGATCTAAAAATGAAGTGTTCATTACAGACCCTCAGATAATGCAGGTCTAAGAATGAAGTGTTCATTAAAGACCCTCAGATCCAGGATAGAATTTAAAAAAATGATTTAAAAAAGAAGTGTTCATTTCAGACCCTCAGATAAAGTAGGTCTAAAAATAAAAAGACTAACAGAAGAAAACAGTCTCTAGTCCGAGGGCAAGTTCGTCACCTTGAGGGCGGCGTCAGCCTTGACATATTCAGCGGAGCCTGGTGGCAGCTGCTCCATGTAGCGCTGCAGACCTGCCTTGTCCTTGAGTGCCACCAGCGCCTGCCATCACGTATATTACTGCCATCAAGTATATTACTGCCATCACGTACATTACTGCCATCAAGTATATTACTGCNACCTGTCTCTTATACACATCTAGATGTGTATAAGAGACAGCATGTACAGTACCTATATTACTGCCATCACGTATATTACTGCCATCACGTATATTACTGCCATCACGTCATTTTACTGCCGTCACGTATATTTACTGTCATTACACATACATGTTGCTTTAATTAACTAATAAGCATCGTAAACTTCCATTAAGGCAGTGAATGACATTGAAAATTTTTAGCTTATTTAATAAAGAAATGCACACTCAATAAATGAATATAAAAGAAATAAACTTAGAAATGCTCCTCGATGAAGATCTTATGCATAACATAAAATGGGAGCTGTGACAAAAGAAGAATTATCATTCCTTTATATAAAAATTTTTATGAGTTAATAATTTTATTATTAATAATTCATAGAATAAGTAAGATAAACCGATACCTCGACAACCGCAGAGCGAACGTCGTAGTGCTGCGCCAGACGCAGTCGCAGCTCCCGGGGCTCTACGAGGGAGAGATACGCAGCCAGCACCTGCGCAGTGAGACGCAGTGATGATACATGTACAGTGAGACGCAGTGATGGTACATGACCACATGTGCAGTGAGACGCAGTGATGGTACATGACATGTGCAGTGAGACGCAGTGATGGTACATGTGCAGTGAGACGCAGTGATGGCACATGTGCAGTGAGACGCAGTGATGGTACATGTGCAGTGAGACGCAGTGATGGTACATGTGCAGTGAGACGCAGTGATGGTAC